TTTTGTAATTAGGAGGAGTTTCAGTTTCGTGATCCAAAGAACAAGATCCAAGTTTTTCCTCAAGATTTTCAACGATAACCTCCCCAGATTCAGACATGGTAGCAACAAACCAAACTAACAGACTGACAAACAAAAAGCAAACAAAGAAGACGAACGGAAGAAGGGCGAAGAAAAAGCAAATCTTTTTGAAAGTCGTTTTAGAAATGGGGGAGAGGAAAATGGCAAATAATGTAATGCAAGAGATGAGAGTTTTATGATGAGTACTTGGTATGTCTTGACTTGGCGTAGATCTCCCCGGCAACAGCGCTAGAAATTCTTCCTGCTACTTCTTGAGCTTTCATTGGTTTTTTCCTTGAAGAGGAAAGGGTGATGCAGCAAAGTAGAGATAAGTATTTCCCTCAGTTAGAGAACCAAGGTATCAATCCAGTAGGAGACAATGCATAAATCACCAATACCTGCACAAACATCAAACAAATTGCACCCAACGCGATAAAGGGGTTATCAATCCCTTCACGGTCACTTGCAAAAGTGAGATCTAATAGAGATAGATGAAACTAACAAAAGATAAAGTAAATATTTTTGCTATTTTTTGGTTTATAGATCTGAAAATAAAAGATTGCAAAATAGTAGACCAGAAACTAATATGATGGAAAATAATAGATCGGAAACTTATATGATGGAAAATAGACTCGAGGGCCATAGGTTTCACTAGTGGCTTCTCTCAAGATAGCAAATAATACGGTGGGTGAACAAATTACTGTTGAGCAATTGATAGAAAAGCGCAAAGTTATGACGATATCTAAGGCAATGATTATGAAATATAGGCATCACGTCCATGTCAAGTAGACCAAAACGATTCTGCATCTACTACTATTACTCCACACATCGACTAAGTCCTGCCTGCATCTAGAGTATTAAGTTCATAAAGAACAGAGTAACACATTAAGTAAGATGACATGATGTAGAGGAATAAACTCAAGCAATATGATGTAAAACCCCATCTTTTTATCCTCGATGACAACAATAAAATACGTGTCTTGCTGCCCCTACTGTCACTGGGAAAGGACACCACGAGATTGAACCCAAAGCTAAGCACTTCTCCCATTGCAAGAAAAACCAATCTAGTTGGCCAAACTAAACCGATAGTTCAGAGAGAATTACAAAGATATCAAATCATTCACTTAAGAACTCAGAGAAGATTCAAATAATATTCATAAATAAGCTGATCATAAATCCACAATTCATCGGATCTCAAACACATCGCAAAAGAAGATTACATCAGATATATCTCCAAGAACATCAAAGAGAACAGGGTATTGAGAATCAAAGAGAGAGAAGAAGCCATCTAGCTACTAGCTATCGACCCGTAGGTCTAAGGTAAACTAATCACGCTTCAACGGAAGGTCAATAGAGTTGATGTAGAAGCCCTCCGTGATCGAATCCCCCTTCGGTAGGATGCCAGAAAAGGCCCCTAGATGGGATCTCGCGGGAACAGAAGGTTGCGACGGTGGAAAATTGTTTTCGTGGATGCTTCTGGTGGTTTGGTGATATATGTGAATATACAGGACGAAGAAGTAGGTCGGTGGAGTCACGTGGGGCCCACAAGGCAGGTGGGTGCGCCCTACCCCCTGGGCGCGCCCTCCCCCTGTGACCGCCTCGTGGCTCTTCCAACTTGATCTCCAAGTCTCCTGGATGTCTTCTGGTCCAAGAAAAATCATCGCGAAGGTTTTATTCCGTTTGGACTCCGTTTGGTATTCCTTTTCTGCGAAGCTCAAAAACAAGGAAAAAACAGAAACTGGCACTGGTCTCTAGGTTAATAGGTTAGTCCCAAAAAATAATATAATAGCATATTAATGCATATAAAACATTCAAAACAGATAATATAATAGCATGGAACAATAAAAAATTATAGATACGTTGGAGACGTATCACTGTGTGCCCACCACGCCCGTCAGGGTTCGGTGATTTGTCTGCTCAGCGATGGACTCAGACGACAAGGAGGCACTCGTGGCGCTGCTGGAGGAGGAAACCGATGCCGGCGTCTAGGACGAAGAGCATCTCATGGTCCTCGTCGCCCTGGCCGGCCTGCTCGCGAGCAATGCAAAGCCGCGGCGAAGTGGCTCAGCGCCGGGGCGGCTGAAAGCAAAGAACCGACATCGACTGGAAGGCTATTGCTTGCTATACTCCGACTACTTCGCTGACGCTCCACTGCACGGTGACAAAGTATTTCGGCGCCGTTATCAAATGAGCCAGAAGCTTTTACTCAGGATTGTGAATTCCATCTGGAGTTCGACAACTACTTCAAGTGCAAGAAGGATTGCACCGGCACACTTGGATTCACCTCAATCCAGAAGTGCATGACAACTATGAGGATGCTTGCATATGGAGCTCCCGGTGATTCACTCGACGACTATGGGCACATGGTCGAGTCCACGACCATTGAGTGTTTCTACAAGTTCTGCAGGGCAGTGGTGGCAGTGTTTGGACCGCAATACTTGCGATCACCCAATGCTGAAGACACTACTCGGATCCTAGCATAGAATGCAGCAAGAGGATTTCCTCGGATGCTTGTAAGCATCGATTGCATGCATTGGTAATGGAAAAACTGTCCATTTGCTTGGCAGGGGATGTACAAAGGCGCCAAAGGCGGTTGCAGTGTGGTACTTGAGGCAGTGGCCACACAGGACCTTTGGATTTGGCGCTCCTTCTTTGGTATGACAGGAACTCACAATGACATCAACGTACTGCAGTGCTCCCCTATCTTTGCCAAGCTTGTTGAAGTTCATTCTCCTCCGGTGAACTTCGAGGTCAATGGGCGGCACTACAACAAGGGATACTACTTAGCAGATGGCATCTATCCGAGATGGTCTATATTTGTGAAGACTATCTCAAACCCTGTGCCAGGAGGCAAGAACTCCCACTTTGCGAAGGTTCGGAAGGCTTGTAGGAAGAATGTCGAGCGGGCATTTGGTGTGCTCGAATCTCGATTTGCCGTTGTCCGGTATCCCGCTCAGACCTGGTGGAAAGATCAAACGTGGGAGATCATGACTTGCTGTGTCATCTTGCGCAACATGATTATTGAGAGCGAGCAGGAAGAGACAGTGTTTGACATTGAACCATATTACATGCAGTGTCCTCTTGCCCAAATTGATCACCAGCTACCCCGCAACCTGGACTGCCTTCCTCAATATGCGTTAGGAGCTCCGAGACCCACAGGTGCATCAACAACTACAGCAGGATCTGGTGGAGTACCTATGGAGGCTCAAGGGCAACGCCTAGCTCGACGTGTGATGAAATATGAGTGTTTATTTGTAAAACTATTTGTTGAACTATATAGTTTGTATTGAACTATTTGATTTTTATTGATTTTCTGTGATGAACTATGTGACAAAAAATAGTTTCTTTCGAATTTATGTCAAAGCACGCCGAATACCGGACGAAATTGGTCAATTTGCACCGATAGTGGGTCATTTTGCGCCGAAAATGGGCTGGAAAGTGGGCCAATTTGCGCCAAAAGTGGGTCGAAATCGGCGCCTGGGGGCGACCTGGGGGCGGCGGCTGGGAACCCGATCGGCCCCAAGCCGAAATTTCCGCCGGCGGCGCGCTATTTCTAGCCCCTGGGGGACCGAACTAGTGGAGATGCTCTTAGTATTTTTTGTTACTGATAGCAATATTTATCAATAATGCTAATGCTATTATTCTCCCGTTGCTCAACCAACATATTTCAGGTCCGCCAAACTTCCTTTACCTCTATATGCCACGCGGGCAATTGCAAGCTAAAGCATCGTATAAGTTTCTACATGTTGTGTTTGGTTGAGATGCAACAAACTACCTGAAAACATGTGTTTATATGATTTGTTTAGAAAAAAAAATGTGGCCATAAGGTTATAATCGTCTCTATTAGTATTTCAGTAATATTTGGTTGCATATTTGAATTAAAAATAAGAATACATATGATTATTATATTTGATTGTTTCGTAGTTGTATTTTTTTAAATATGAATATCATAACAGAATGATAACTATTTCCACTGTATTTCCACTTATTATGGTTGCACTTTAAGGTGAATATTTTTCACGTATTTTTATGCATGATTACATGTTTTCATGTTAAGATAAGTAGATTAGAAGGTTCATCTTTAGAATATACTTCCTCCGTATTTGTATGCAAGGCCACTTTATATTTTTATATTTAACTTTATCCATTAGTTTTATTAATAAAATGTGAGTTGTATGTCTTCGAATGCACATTTCAAGAACTTCTTGATAATATATTTTATAACATATAACCTACTCCCTTCATCCTAAATTACTTTCTTAGATTTACAGATGTATCTAGACACATTTTTTATTGATCAAAATTGTAAGTTAAAGTTTCACACGAAAAATGAAATGACCTTGTATAACAAAATGGAGGAGTATGATTCTGTGCTATATTTTATCTTGACATCCTTCTCGGCATTGTTCACCAAAACAATTAGGTGCCTTTCGGCAGGATATTTGGATCACTTGCGTGCGTGAATCGACCAGTGGCGGTGTTGTCATCGCTGACTTTCCTCGACTCTCCTGTCCAATCCTTTTGCCCCCCTCCTCTCTACATAGCCTCCCTCCATCCCCGACCCTCCCTTCCATCGCCCAGGCCGACCTAAAGCCGTCCATTCCGTCGTCTCCATGCTCTAGGACAACGAGCACGCGGGGCCTACCGCCTACGTCTCCACCCCCACCGCCGGACGCATCTCAGGTGACCGCCGATCCCCCGCCCCCTCCCAGATCGCTCGATCCCTAGCTTCGCTCCCCCGATTCGGTTCGTTCTGGGATTTTCTTAGGCTAGACCTCTCGATTCGACCTAGATATGCGCTTGTTCTCTTGTCAAATTCGCCCACCGGTGTGCGCGGGGCGGCGGGGGCACGAGCAGTTGGCGCGGAGGAGGCAGGATTTGAGCCGAGCACGCGAGAGCGAGAGCGCCTCGAGCGAATTCCGTGTCCGTAGATTTGATGTCCGATGTTCGCGAAAATTTGGGTTTGCGCCGTTATGTGTCGGTTGCTGAATTTTGTGGCGGTGTGCTCACATGGCGGTGTGGTTTTCGCAGAGAATTTCGAGGATGTCGACTCCTTCAAGGAAGAGGCTGATGAGGGACTTCAAGCGGCTGATGCAGGACCCTCCTGCGGGCATAAGCGGGGCGCCGCAGGACAACAACATAATGCTGTGGAATGCTGTGATTTTTGGGTATGAATGATGCTAGGGTTACATGGTTATGCCGTTCCTTTCTTTTCCTCTTCAATGTTATTGGGTGATGGTGTGCTCATGCATTTGCTCGTGTTGATTTGCAGCCCTGACGATAGCCCGTGGGACGGAGGTTAGTTTATCTAAGTGCAGTTGCTAGCTCTTTTAATGATGTACTAGAATTTCCTTGCTGGACTCGGTTTTGGTTGTTCTTGAACTGTTGAAATCTATCGTTTCTACCTGCACCTGAGATTTCATGTGTGTAAGCATTTAATATTATTTATTACATATGCTGCCGCCCTTGGTGACGGAAGATTAATACTACCAAACATACTAATGTTAATCAAGTGCTATGGAATACCATAATCTACTAGTATAGGTGTCTGGCAGAACAAAATATGGCCATGTGAATTTGTCACCTCACTGTCAAATACATAGTATCTCGCAAGCAAACACAGTGGTAAATCACAAATTGGAATTAACACGGACAGCGGAAATATCCCTCATTCCATATTCAAGTATGTAAAGTACCTGCTGATACCAATGATATAAACCAAGATAAATAAAAAAATCACCCATTTCGAAATTGGTGCAATTATTAATGTTGGCGTCACTGTCGATAGCAAAGGTTCAAATCACAATTTTGCACCAAGGGAATGATCGTCTCTGGGTGGGGGATGGCGGTGGCGTGTGATTAAGGTGTGTGGTGGCGTTGGCCCCAAACAGCTGCATTATCGTATCTGGTTCTGGTGAATTTAATACGGGCTGGCCAACGGGCGGTGCAGACGAATGAGGTTGTATATGGCACAATTTGGCTTTGCCTGGGTTCCTACATGCTAGGTGCCATGGCCACCATTCCAATCTGCATATCTCCTGTCGTAATATTGGGAGTTCGACATATGGAATGATGTGGCAAATCAGGGGTGTGGTCCGACATCGAAATGGGGATGCGCCGTTATGTGCCAACCAACCTCATGATGGATACCCTGATGTTGTATTTTGTGGTTGCCACTGCTGTCCATGCACTCCTGTCCTGAGGCCACTGGAATAGTGTCTGCCTACTGTAATAGGGAAATAATAAATATACAACATTATTCATGTAAGGCAGTGTGGAATATAAAACGACACAGATGACCAGAACCTGTTTTCTTCAGAATAAATACCATGTACTTAACTACTTAGACATATAGTTATCAGAGTGCTGATCAGAGAAAAAAGAGGTACTTTGATAGGTTTTCTCATAAGTTATTAAGCTTATAATATAAGTAGGCTTTGTTACAAGTTGAAGTTGAGTTCCAAATTTAGCATGTTGTGTTGGTAAAAGGTACTCCCTCCGTCCCAAAATCTTGGGCGTCTAATCTTTTGCATGCAGTCCCATAATGTAGGGCGTGCATGTCTTCTTCTCTCCTTCCGTTACAACCAACGCTAACGATAACTAATTTTCTGGGAAGGAAAACAATCACTGATTGAGATTCTGTTGCAGTTAGCCCACATCATCTCCCTCTCTCCCTCTCTCTCTCTCTCTCTCTCTCTCTATCTATCTATCTCTCATTTATCTCCCATGAAGGGACCCCACCTAGCCTTCCAATCCCATGACGGGGGAGTTCGTGGGGAGTAGAGGAGATCGTGGGAGGCAATTTTCCTTCCCGGCCAACGACAGCTCAAGTAAAAGAACGCATGCGCTAATTTTCGTGCTGAAACACTAGACGCCCAAGATTTTGGGAAGGAGGGAGTAGAATAGAATAGTTATGGCTAGCTAAGGCAAATAGCTGAGCTATTTGAAGCTATAGCGGTTATCGCTACTATAGTGGAACGTTGGCATATTGCTTAACGACTAGGGTCCAAAAGATTCTGTAGCCCAGATAGCCATTTAGAACCTTCCTCAACAGATCGAAAATAATTTTTTTGAGAACAGAGTCTAGGTCAACTCAGTGCAGTAACTAGCAGCATCACATGCACTATCCCTGTTATTTTAGTTCTGATTGCATATTTTGATTTATTCTTTCCATTTTGTGCTGAGCTGTATCCCATTTTCAGGTACGTTTAAGCTGACTCTCCAGTTCAATGAAGAATATCCTAATAAGCCACCAACAGTTCGGTTTATTTCTCGGATGTTTCACCCTAACAGTAAGTTGTTTCACCTCATCTTTAAATACTTGTGTGCACAGGAAATAGTTAGATACTCCCTCTGTAAAGAAATATAAGAGAGTTTAGATCACTACTTTAGTGATCTAAACGCTCTTATATTTCTTTACGGAGGGAATACATAGATAAAATTGAGCCGTCATGCATTTCTAATCGAAAGATTTATCTGTCACGTATTTCTAACTGAAAGATTAATCTGTCATGCATTTCTAATTGAAAGATGAAAGATTGATCTGTCACATACTACCAGGTGTATCTAATTTTTAAATCTGTGCATATTTTTTATAAATGGAGCCTACTTATGTCGTTTGCCCTTAGTTCTCTTGTTCCTTCTCTTTCAGAGACTTCCAACAATTAACTACCGTCCTTTGTATTTTGTTACCTGCTTTATAGATGTACACTTGTCGGTTGTGCTGTGACGGCTTGATATTGATTTTATGCTGTGAATACATATTTGCTGATTACCTTGAGCAAGCATGCTGCAGCCTTTACAGCATACTTTGAGTGCATGCATCTTGAACTGATGAAACTCTCGCTTTCTTTTTACTCCACTGATAGAAAGCCAAAAACAAGGATACAAGTCTTGTACTCTCCACTTCTATTTGTCATCGTGACCTTTTTCTTATGGCCTGCAGTTTATGCTGATGGAAGCATATGCTTAGATATTCTACAGAATCAGTGGAGCCCAATATATGATGTAGCTGCTATACTTACATCTATCCAGGTACAAGAAATAAGCAGCTCAGATTATTTATAGTTTTACGCACCAACGTTTTGCAATGCCAGCTCGTTACTTAATTACTAGAGCATATATTTTAAAATTCAACTTTGGAATCTATTCAAGTCTTGACTAATGCATGACATATTTGGGTAGCTCTTCAGTGCTACGTATATTTTCAGCACACTTGCTCCAATTGTTTGAGCATGTGGGGGATCAATTAAATTAGTGCATCTTCATTTTTTGGCAACTTTAATTAGCCAATCCATGCCCTGCTGCCTGTATCTTGTAGTAAATGCCTGGGATTCGGCCACCCACAGGCTAATTGCACCTCGGACGTCAGATGCAAAGCTTGTTACAATTATGGACACGTGACCCTGTCCTTTCTAATTGCACCTCGGATTACCTTGAGCAAGCATGCTGCCGCTGCTTGCCCATTTGCTTGCCCTGCCGCTCACACTCTTGCTGCAGACAGAGAAGAAAGGAGCGGGCAGGGCGAGAGGTGAGAGGAAATCCCTGGGAGAGAAAGCGGAGATAAGGCACTGACCTAGCGTCGTCACTCGCTAAGTGATACACTCTGCTGTAGCTCCGTGCGCGGCCGCCAAAGCCACAGCCAGGGATTAGCGAGAGAGACGGGATTGGTGTGGCTGGGTTATTACATGAGATAAAGGCGGTGATAGGAGAAAAACATTTCAAGAGGATGAGGGAATTGCGATTCCGCGATCTGGTTTCTCTCATCTGGCATTTTTTCGCGGCTATTGTCAACCAACATATAGAGAGTAGTCCCCAAATGGGGTTGCGCCCTTATCCCTACAGACCTGCTATCCTTCTAAACTATTGGTATCGCACCAAAAAGTGGCTATACCTGTCCCTTGCGTGGATAGCCACCAAACCAAAAAACACCACCTAAAATCTCGCCTAATCGCCTTGAAAGTCATTCTTGACCTTGTCCACAGGAATTAATACAGATTCATCAAAGGCCATACAATTCAGGACAATAATGCTTGGAGTTCCAAATTTCTCCGTCAGCGCCATCAGTCTAAAAGGGAGATTGAGGTGCTCAAACTAGACTTGAAAAAGCCTTTGACACCTTGGTGTACTGCACAATTATTACTACTAGCTAATTGCCCATGCATTGCAATGGAGCATACATATTATAGTGATCTTCCTGTCCAAAGCTCAGTGATAATTTCCATAATTAGTGTGATACCCTGCCCAAAGAATGGTATCTCCACTAGTAACGTAATCCTTCTGTCCAAAGAATGGTACCCTTCATAATTAACGTGATCCTCCCGTCAAACGCTCGATGATACTTTCCATAATTAATGTGATCCTCATGTCCAAAGAATGTTACTCTCTATAATTAACGTGAAATAACCAAATGTACGAAACCAAACCAAACCACGTCGTACCATCACGACGGCAAACTCCCCTTTAATAGTAGAGATACTTGAGGCCTATGGGTTTGATAGCCGCTGGATTAGATGGATCAAGTCCCTCAGTTCTGGTACTTCTGCCATCCTGCTCGTTCAACATATTAATGGCCTATGGGTTGATTTATCTCTATAGCCTATGCAAGTTTTTAAAATTGTGAGTGATATTACACAGAAACTGTGTTGTGTTTCCAATCACTCTGCATCTCTGTTGGAGGCAACGTGTTGGTTGTGCTTGGGCTGAACTAACCTGAGCTTTTGTGCTATTTGCAGTCGCTGCTGTGTGATCCTAACCCGAATTCGCCTGCTAACTCAGAAGCTGCCCGCATGTTCAGTGAGAACAAGCGAGAGTACAACCGCAAAGTGCGGGAGATTGTTGAGCAGAGCTGGACGGCAGACTAATAAGCTGAGCTCACCATGCGTTCTCATGCGGTTTCTGTACCAAAATGTTTGTAACTAAAATGGCTGAACTCCATCGTTACCACCTGAAACAGCAACTTGCTTTGTTGCATCATTTGGCTGGACGGCTGGAGATTGCTCTGTCATGGCCTGTGCCTATACTGTCTGTATCTTGAACACAAACATTTTGTAACGTCTTGTGTGGGTTTGTAATGTTCTAGTATCATATCATATTGATTCTGAACTCGGGCGCAAATCTTCACCCACTATAGTTGAATGGTGCAGGAGTTCTAAAAAAAAATCATGAAAACAACGAAGTGGCTAATTATCATGAGCAATATATTATGTACTATGAACATAGAAAAATTGTGTTCGTGTAGTTATTCTGTAAGAACACTAGTTTCGACGCAGCTATAGTTGGTTCAGTTGAAACAAGGATGGACAAGAAATATGTTTAGTCTCGACTGAGCTTCTCTTGAATACACATTCATCTTTTTATATAATAATAATCTCCTGAAATTATTGTCTAATATATACTCCCTCTGTCCCAAATTACTCGTCGCTGAAATGGATGTATCTAGAATTAAAATACATCTAGATACATCAATATCTGTGACAAGTAATTCCTGGTGAATCATGTTAGATGATCATATGCAGATTCTTGTACAATGCCCTTAACAAAGAGTCGCATATGCAGATGAATCATGTTAAGATGATCATCCCTGGTGATGTCAACCCTCTTCATTGCTCAGTTCTCTTTGGCATGTCCTTTTGACAGCCCCTTATTGCACTAACATTTCACCCTTATCTAACTTGCGACCTGAAAATATGTGTCATGCAGGAGTTTAAGAATAGAAGTGGCTATAGTGCTAATAGCAGGTAACTTGTCGGAAAATACCTTTGGGCGCTGGTAATTACACCTGATAACCGATTTTATTTTTAAAAAATCCAGAAAAAGTCAACGTTCCAAAACTTTTTCCCAACAAACTTGAGCTGTCATTTCTGTTGTACAAAAATATTCTGTAATGAAATATTATCCGACAAAAATCTGACAAAAATGACAAATTGTCAGAGAATATAGCATGAACAGTACCTCGTATATAGTGACAAATTTGTTTTTTTACGTCCACAAGAACATGAAAGTCATTTCTTCGCGAATTTTTTTTATACGAGTGCAACAATAAATCTACTTTGATCGCAAAAGGTTTCAGATTTTTTTGACTTTCTTACAAATTACTATTTTAAAAAAAAATCGGGTGTAATTACACCCGAGAGCCATAAGTTCCCGTTCGTAATTTGTCCTCCTTATCCTTAACACATAGACGCAAAAAAGAATTGCAATAAAATAATGGTACTATATCACTCGACACTGTAAATGTGAATTGACAGACAACAAAGACTCATGAGTTGGGGAGTAAACACGGTACGACATTATCAGGACATATGATGTCACGAGGAATTACAAGAGGGAGTGAACGATGTGTTTAAATGTCCTGGTAATTCATGTGTAATAACAATTCCATGGTTTTTGTGTGATGTGGCATGCCAAGATGACGGAAATTTTGTAGTAGTGGGTGCCAGTTGTTTACGCTAGAAGATACCCTGCGCGTTGCTGTGAAAATTTCAAAATAAATAATAATATCATGAAATAGTAAGAAAAAACCTAACTACATTACATGTGAAGCAAAGCAGCGCTAAAGAGGAAACAATTATATGCATTCACAAAATGTAATGCTTATAAAATGACTAACCTTTAAATCTCGTTTAATGGAAAAATCTCCACTTTGTGAAAGAACCTGATTGTACTCCTACATGCGTGACCTAATATCCGCTGTCATGGTTACTTGTAAACATTATTTTGATAAAGGTTACTTGTAAACATGAAGTTTCACTTTAAGAAGCATTGAAATGCAGTTAGTTACGTAACCGGCGAACAAAATTAATAAGTAACCCAAAAAGGTTAGCCTCATGCAAAGTTCATGTGAAAAAATATTTTTGATGTGATCAACACTTGCCCAGGTGGTGAATTATATACATTTGGCACATTATAGTGAATGGAAGGTTATCTAAAAGGTTTTTTTTTAGCAAAAAAAGCTTACTGAAACAGCAAGGCAAACATACCTACATAGACCTGGAGTGACTACATATTGTTTCCAAATAAAGAACCCAGCTCTTGAAGCTTCAGATTGAACTATTACAATGTTTTCCCCTTAAACCGATTCTAAATGGAGGTTATATAAAGAAAAATCAAGGGTACGAACCTGAAAGTTCCTCAGGGGATAATCCACCTGAAGGTTGCCTGCAAAATCAGAAGTACATACAAGGATAAGTTTCAAAATTGAATGGTACAAATACACAACAGCCCACACCGTCTCATGCCAAAAGTAGCTTCTGAGATAACTAATTCTATTTTGTCTATCTCCAATTTGTTCCAGCGCTGCGACAAATATTAAAGGAATGTAATGAAATTTTACACATGAAAGTAATAAAGATGAATATTATCAGTCACTTGAAATCTTCCTCTGGCTCCTAATATCTAGTGACAGACTATTTAACCTAAACACTTGTTCCAACAATCTAAACGATGGCATCACGTTACAGCTATGTCAAGCAACTGGTAGGTACTCTGAGTCTCTGACTTGACTATAATCTTGACTTGACTACAATCTAACGGAAGCATGCAAGCCATGGGCAATGGTTTTCCACATTGATCGTGGCATCGCCAGGAGGAAGTAGCAGGCCGGCAGCATGTTCGATTCCATGCCGAGCGACCACAACCAGAGCAGGTGAGAGGGCGGCCTGTTCTACACCTACAATGCTTTCATGAAGGCGGTGAACGCAACTAGGCGGCTTTGGCACCACTGTGTTAGACTGTATATATGTAGCCTCTGTATATCTGTATTGTAACATTGTATTGTACTCCTTGGGTACCTCTATATAATGAGATAGTCACACCCCGGGTTAGGGGTGTCGTGCAGTTTCCAAAATACTTTGTTTTACATGGTATCAGTTTAGGTTACGATGTCTTTCGCTGCTCCCGCCACCGCCGCCGTCGCGCCGACCTCCGTCGCCGCGGCCGCCGTCGCGCCGGTTCTCGCCCCTACGTCGCCGTTCCTCGCCTCCAGGCCTCTCGCGGTGGCCTATGGGGCCCCGCCGCCGCCTGGGTCCCTGATTGGATCTCGTTCGCATGGCGAGCCCTCGGGTGACCTAGCCCCGATCGTGGCAGAAGCTGCCGCGCCGCCGCCCTACGCCGCTACACCACCACTGTTCTACGGCGTCGCCGCGCCGCCGTCCTACGGCGTTGCCGCGCCCTCGCCCTACGGCCATCACCCGTATGGCGCTCCCCCGATGGCCCCTGGTGCTCCGCCGCTGCCGCCATCTTCATGGCCGGCGTTTGGTGCGCCGCCTCTACATCAACCCCAGGCGGCGCCACCGAGCCACCCCTACGGGCCATCGCCGTCGCCTCCCCTGCAACCCTACGCGGCCTACCCAGCACCGCATGGGGCCGCGAACTTCTACGCAGGGGGTGCGGCTGCCTCGCTGCAGCCATCCTACGGGGCTGCGGCCGCACCACAACAGCAGCCTCCCGGGGGCGCGGTCGTTTCGCCCTATGGGGCTCATACCGCGTCGAACTACGGCGCCTCTGCCACTGGTCCTCCCGGGTTCCCCGCACTGTATTCGGTGCCTGCTGCTCATGCCGACCCGGTCGCCGCACCGTCGCCGTTCTACTTTTCACATCTGCTACCGGTGAAGCTTGCGCCGGATAATTACTTGTCCTGGCGTGCCCAGGTGTTGCCTCTTCTGCGGAGCCGCTACTTGGAGGGATATGTTGACGGGTCCATACCGTGTCCACCCCCTCACCACCCGGCATACCACACCTGGGTGGCTCAGGATCAGGCCATCTTCTCCGCCATCCAGTCCTCGCTCACCCCGAGCGTCTCGTCGCTGGTCATCTTCGCCGCTACGTCCCGGGAGGCGTGGGCGGCGCTTCACACCAGCTTTGCCTCTCAGTCTCAGGCGCGTGCTCACTCTATATGCACCGAGTTGGGTGAGACGAAGCTTGGCGACCTCAGCATCACCGACTACTTCAACAAGATGCGGGGTCTTGCCGACACGTTGGCCTCAGTCGGCCAGTCGCTGCAGGATGAGGAGTTCACCACCTTCATACTGAATGGGCTTGATGATGATTATGACAATCTCATCGAGAACGTTCATGGTCGCGATGACCCGCTTCCACCTCGTGAGCTCTATGCCCGTCTGCTTGGCCGTGAGCAGCGCATTAAGGCGCGCCGAGCCTCCCCCAGTTTCGCCTCCGCCAATGCCGCAACTCGCGGCAAGCCTCAGCGGTCATCATCATCAGGAGGCAGACCGGCGTTGCCTTCATCACCAGCCTCGACGGGCAGCGCTCCGACCATCACAGGTGGTAACCGGCCAGTGGCGTGTTCTTCTTCTTGTGGTGCCCAACAGGCCTGCCAGTTGTGTGGCTTGGAGCGCCACGTTGCTTCTCGCTGTCATCGTCGCTACAAGCAGGACTTTCTGGGCCTCGGCAACAACGGCAAGGGGAATGACAAGCAGGCCGCCGCTGCCGTGACAAGTCATGATCATGGTCGTACTCCGTCATACTCCGTTGATCCTGCATGGTACATGGACACTGGAGCTACCAACCACCTCACCCATGAGATGGGTAAGCTCTCTACTCAGGAGCCATATCGCGGTCATGATCAGGTGCACACCGCTAGTGGAGAAGGTATGCGCATCTCTCATGTTGGTCAGGCTTCTCTCCTTGCACACAACTTTCGCACATTGCATCTATCTAATGTCCTTCGTGTTCCTTCTACTACACGTAGTTTGTTGTCCATTCCTCAACTTACACGTGATAATAATGTCCTTGCTGAGTTTCACCCTTTTTGTTTCTTTATCAAGGATCGGGACACGAGGGCCGTTCTGCTTAGCGGTCGTCTTCGCCATGGCCTGTATGCACTTGATGCGCCGCGCTCATCTTC